AATATATTTACTTAACTAAAAATTTAAAATAATATTAACATAAGATTATTATTATAATAATTTATTGTTTATAAAATATTATTATTTTATAGAATAAAGAATAAAAACTACAAGTTCTTACGCGCATCACCTTTTATTCCCCACTATTTATAATATTAAGGTCATTAGCTCTTTTTTTTTTTTTAACAAATATTTACAATCCTTCAAGATATTAAAACATACAAAGACTCCCAACATCTGTTTATACATATATATATATATTTTTTCTTTTTTCTTCTCTTGGTTTCCTTTTCTTGCTCTTCTAGAGTTGGTCCTTTTCCCAGCTTCAAAAGTCACTTGTGAGCCTTAATGTTGCTTTGCTATTCCTCCTTTTCCCACTATTTATAATCTTGTTTGCCTCACCATGCAAGAGCAATATCAGAGTGAAAACCATGTAACTACCGTGAAGTTCTTTTTTCCCCCTGGTTCGACTCCTCCACCGCCAGAAAAAATGAGAGGGTGAATTGAGTTTAGGTTATTAAAAAGGTGTTTGGATAGCCCAATAATCACTTTTCAAAAGTATTTTTCCTTAAATCAAAGCAAACTCCTTCACATATTTATTTTGTATACTGTAAAAACACTTCTGAAATTATGGTTTTAATCTTACCCAAATACCCCCTAAAATTCATGGACTGGGTTAGTGGGAGGGATTTGCTCTATCAAGCCCATATTTTTAATTAATTTAAACCCATTCCCAATTACCTCAATTTTAAAGATAAACATGTCCGCATATATGAATATATTTAGACAGGGACACGGACAGACTCGGACACCCCCAAATATACTTGTATTCTAAGCTCACTATTGGATACTCTCTTTTCCCCCCATTTTATAATTAAAAAAAATTGATACTCACATTAACCTTTATTATTTAATTAAATATTTTTGCTACTCAGTAGTAGAGTTTCAGGATATGTTAAATGTTCATTACGCTGCATTTTTGAGAACTCGTTTTCTCTTATATAATTGTTTTTTATGTTACATTTTGAGGATTTAATTGTTTTTTGTTATTTACACAAAATTCAATTAAGTGTTATTTGGTGAGCTCACATTACTATTTTTAATGTCATTTATTATATTTTAGCATATTTTAATACCGTTAGAAAGTAACGTTTTAAGATGGACCTAATTTTATGGGATTTGAAATTTGAGAAACTAAAATCAAAATGAACCAAAATTTCAGAAACAAAAAATTATATTAATTCTTAACTATAAATTAATTTTGTAAATAATATTTGTTATCATATGATGTATCGGCCCGGTCCTGCAACATAATTGTCTGCGTGCAGGTCAAAAAAATCATAATTGTCTGTGTTCGCTTGAGAGACCCGCTGAGAGCTACTCATCATCATATAAAATATTTATAAAATAATATCATTATAATTGGTAAATTTTTGCGGAATCTATTCCATGTGATATTATACTAATTTAAGCCAAATTATAAAAAGTAAGAAGTAAATTCTGTACGCATATTATTGGAAGTAAATCCTTGAGAATTATTCCAATGTGAAATACAAAATCACAAAAAAATAAATAACACAAATGCTTTATTGAAAATTAATTAATACTCCAAAAATTGCACTACCTTCTTCAACTATAAATGCAAACTCATTGTGCAGACGCATCACAAGAAGATAAAACATGGCCAAGTCTTTGATTGTGGGAGCTTTTCTTGTTCTTTTGATGTTTTCAGCTTCAGGTGAGAGAACCTTTCACTTTTGTTGTGGTTTGTATAATTTTTACATTGATTAGGATTTTTTTAATCAATATCAGTATTTTATACGATAAATTATTTTTTTACCTTCAAATACAATAAACTATTTAGTAGTTTGTTTAACTATTCTTTTTGTTATTTATTTGTGGCCCACATGTTTCTTTCCACTAAAATAACATAGAATGAATATGCAGTGATTGTGAGGATACCCATGTTGATTTTCTCGTTTTATTAAGAAAAGGGACAAGAGAAAAGCTTTATTACACGATGATATCGCATGCACACACTCATGTGAATATTTAGTATACTAGAACTTAATGGATTTAATTTTTAACTGATTATTCATGACTTTTAATGTTAGATTATGATTGTAGACGTGTGTTCATTTATTCAAATTAGAATAATTAATTATTTGTGAATGATAAAATATACCAATATGATAATTTTCTATTTGTACAAATAGTATAATCAAAATAAAATATATATAAATTTAACCAGCGGTATGAAATTAAAAGGTAATATTCAAAGCTAAACAGGAGCTATTTTTTTATGCATTATTTATAATGTAAGTTTCATTATCCCTTGTTTTATGTTTTATACAAATATATAAAATTGATTAACAAAAATATCATATTTGCAGCTTTGGACTATGAAACCGAAGATGCAGAAAGCAAGCTCAATATACGATGCAGAGATGGCTTTGATTGCCCAGGCTGTCCTTGCATCAATAAAAAGTGTGTTTGTGGAGCTTCCCCTCAACTTGAACAACGCATGATTCAGAGCCCACCAGTGTCTCAAAACAACAAATAATCCCTTATTGACTCTTTTGTTGGGGGTTCTCATGTTTATTGCATAAAATAAATATATGTTTGGGGGTTGAAAAGAAGTGTATCCCTTATAAAAGAAATTTTTATGGAGTGGAATATGTTATAAGCTTGAGTTGACTCTCTAAGTTTTTTTTTTTAAATTTTCAATTTATTAAATCATGTCATAAATGCGATTGAATTTATGAGTTTACTCAACGAGTTTATCATTTTTACACTTTTAGCTTATAAAATCGTATCTATTCGCTTTTAAACTTATATTAAATCTTTTAATTTAATTATATTTAGTGACTTCATATATAAAGTTTATAGAAATTTCTTTGTTGAATATAGTAAATAATGAACGTTAATATATTCAATTTTAATTATTTGAATTCAAAATATATTTAAATAAAATCATTGTTATTTTTTTATATTTTGATTATTTAATTATATATTTTTAATACCAATTTATTAAAACTCTTACAAGTTTAAAATTCAAATTTATAATCCAAATTTATATTTCTATCATGAATTTGCTCTTGTGAATTTGACAAGCTTGTTAAATAATATAAAAGTTGTGAATTCTCAAGTTTTCCATAAGTCATAATTGATATTTTTTTAGCTGTGTAAAATTAGTCGTAAGTTTCTAAAGTCGTGCCCAAAAATTTGCCGAGCAAACTACATGACATGTTCGTTTCGGGAGATATATGATTAAACCTTATTTTCATACTTTTAAGTTTTAGTAGCTCAAAGTTTACTTGTTTTTAATCTGTTTTTTCTTAAAGAAACTGCAAGATCGAGCACAATAATTTCTTAAATTAATTGGCAATTTCTCTGAAAAAACACATTTATACTCACGTAAAATTACAAAGTCGTTACATCTTAAACTTGCATCATACCCATTATAACAAAATAGTACATAGAAATTGCAATCAAAGTTATTATCATGAAAAAATACTAAAACATAAGTATCAAAATACTGTATTAAAAACTTGGCCCATTTCATACACACACACGCATTTCTGAAACAGGGTTGTTATCCTTTGCCTCAATTTTTGTGTTGTTCATACATTGTTTCCTGAATCCTGTTTAAACCAAGAGGGTATTGTAGATTTAATTTTAATTTTCTCGAAAGAGAAAGCAAAAGAAAAATGTCAATTTCTCTTCTTTGTTTTTTTGGCAGAGTCAAATTCTTGTATCTTTTGGAGAGAAAAAAGACCTTAACATGGTACACCCTGGCCCTTTTCGTAAGCAATTTTAGAGCAATTTTAGACTAAATTATGCAAATCAAAGAGTTAGTTAAAATTAATTAAAGTTAATAAATATTAAAAAAATTGGAATTATTTTTTTAAAATACCCTTATTTATGAGAAAAATATAAGAAAGATAATAAAAAATTATTATAATAAAAAGAGCTATGAGAGAGAATCTACGGTGGAGAGAGATTATAATAAAACATAATTTTCAAAATATTTATTATTTAGGAAATGATATTTTAGAAAAAAATAAATACATTAACTATTAAAATAAGTCTTTAATAGTGGCAAAATAGAAAATTTGTTATAAAAATTTACGACAACTTATAAATATTACTTATATTTAGAGATAAGGGAAGATAATGATTGTTACTTATAAAAAAAAGAACCAAGGGAGTAATTATACGAGGATGATTAATTTTTTTTTCCCCGGGTGAATGAGTGGATGATTGATTTTATTTTGTGTATACATGAAGATGTTGTTTGCAAGTTTGTAAAACCGGGTTTTTAAAAAAAAAAAAAATCCTGCCGGTCTTATGCATTAATAATATTACAATGGTCTATAATGTTACAAAATGGCTTTCGTAGTTCAATGGTCTATAATATTACAAAATAAAAATTACTTCCTACTTTATTAATGTTTCATTCCAATTTTACCGATCGTCCCCAATGGGACCCTACTTTATTAATGTTAATTATAATTTTTATAACGATTCTTCACAACTCTATTAAATTCATTTATCATATTATTTGTCACCTTTTTAAACATTCCTAATGTGATTAAAACTCTTTTAACAATATTTACAACTTCATTTATATTATTTATCTTGTATTTTTCATATTTTTAAATTAATTTTTTTTAATATTCATAATGTATGTGACAATTTATGGTAATATTTGCAACTTCACGTCATTAGTCACATTACATGACCAGCTACTAGAATTGTCAAATTTTTTTTTTCAAAATAAGAAAAATATTATAAATTTATTAACATTTAAAATTTTGAAATTTTAGAAATTCATTTCTTTTTTTTGGTTTTGAAATTCAAATATTATTTTTTTGGCATTTTTCCTAATATTTTTCCAACCCTAATTTCTTTTAATGAACCCCCCCCAAAAAAAAAAAAAACCGCCTGCAGAATTTGGTATCCGTTTTCCCGTACAAATTACTCGGGTCCCCATTGCATGGGGGGGCCACTGTGGCCCGGAAACGAGGAGTCAACTGTACGAGGAAGAGAAGCCTCAGGTGCGAGTGTGCCAAGTTAACGAGTATGGCTTCTCCAGAGCCCAACGATGAAGATCGTATTGTAGAGCTAGTTGTGCGTGATGCCCCTGATTCGGCCGGCGATGCTGATGCTGTTGCGGTTTCGGAGGACTTTGCCCCTTTGCTTGCGCAGCCTGAAAGACCCAGCATCAACATCTTCACCCTCCCTTATCCCCGAAGAAAATCCAGAGTAATTTTTAGTTTTTTTTGTATCTTTTTCTGTTTGGCATCAAGTCTTCCTTCCAGATTTTAGTTTAGAAAGTTGAATTATACGGGACTTTGAGAATGTGACTGTCAACTTGGGGGGGGGGGGAAGGAAGGGAATTTATTGAGTTTTCATTCTCCCCAAATAATTCGTTGTGGTTAATTAGTTTGTTAGTGTATTATGAAGCATGATACATCAGTTTTTGTGCAGATAATTTTGTGCGTAGATGATCTCCTTTAGCTCAAGAGTCTGGCGTGGACGATCTCTTCTCACGCTCTATTGATAGAATGATAGAAAAATATGTTTATTTGCTAGTGGAGAGTTATCTGCACGAATTTTAAATTTTAGAGAGGTTCATTTTGAAGTTTCTAAGGAGAGGGGACTTTATCAGCGCACAGCTGAAAATTCAAGGGCGTTAAATTGAAATTTAACAGGAAAGGGAAAAAATGACAGTGCATCCTTTATTTGTGAAGTATGGCTCTGTCTTCAACAGCAGGAAGAATTCTTTATAGGATGACTGACATTGAGAAGATTGAGGGGAAAGGGGCTTTCACAATATGGGTTTTCACAAATGAGTCGGATGAGTAATTAACGTCTGGCAAGTGACAAAAGGATTACAAAAACTAGTTTCTTTCTACCTTGCGTGGGTCTATCCTATCAATTGCGTAGGATAAGGATAAAAACTAAACTTGCTTAGTAAATGACGTCTTTTTTTCCATCCTTTTTTCCTTTTCTTGGCCTCATGGCGATTTACCTCTTCAAATACAGTTACAACTTATAAGCTACGAAATAAAACAACAAATATTAAACGGGAATTTTTCATTTGAAATGTTGTATTTGCTTTAGATGAATTAGTTTTGTCCTACAATTGGAAGAAAAGATTTGTTTTTAATATTGTCAAACAAATTTGAGAGAAGAAAATGAAGTGGATTTCTGGAATCAATATGGTTGCAGGATGAAGTAACAAGATTACTTGAGTCAGAGCCTTCTTCTTTGACCCATTTCATATTGTGGGTATGGAATGGATCTAGATACTCTGGTTTACTTTGTATGGTCCTTTCATCTACCACCTACTTTCTTATGGAAGTTCTTTCCAATACTTTTTCCGGTAAGCTCTTCAGTTCTGCTCTGTATTTTATTTTGCCAGATATTAGCATCTGTATAATTAACAAAAAAAGTGCAGATGAATGTAGCTATTTTGGTTGCACTATCATAACTTTGCTAATGAAACATTAATGCATTTCTTTTAAAGAAAAAAGGGATACACAGACCTTTTATGATAATTACATTTGCTGTTGCTTAGCACTATAGTTATTCAGTTAGTCTTCTTTTTGGCCTGAAGTTATTCAATCAATCTTAAGTACACATATATTTGAAATTTCTGAATATTGTTTTGCCATATTTCTCAATCATACCGCATCAATCCTTAAATATAGGGCAATTTCTAGAAGCTTTACTTGCCATGAAATATGGGGCAATGCGTAGTGTTTATAAGTTTTCCCAATTATAACTTTCATTTATTATTACTTCATGTAATCAAGGAGAGCTGTTTTAAAGGAGTCAACTACTTAAATGTAAAGATTTATTTCACACGAGAGTAAAATTGGAAAGATATAAAATTTGTGAGAAGACTAAGTTTTTAACTAACAATTTTTTAGAACTGCAAAGTAGTTAACATTGTTTTATATTATGGACCGGAGGGAGTACCTCCTTTAGATGTGTTTGTGAAGAGAACAGAAGGAATATCTTATCGTTGTCATCAGAAATTTAGTTATCGTTGAAGAGAACTCATCAAATTGCTTTGTTGACCGAGTAAATTACAGACATTTGCTTAGTTTGGCACATGTAAGGAAGGAAGTAGTAGGGAGTATATGTGTCTGCATTAAATTTACACAAGGTCATGTTTCTAAATTGTCCAGTATAAAATTTTAATAGGGACGGGTGCAAATTTTAAACCAAGAGGGTAGGTGCATGTAGTTTTAGCAAGCCTTAAGGAAAGTCGGTGTGATCTATTCATGCTAGATTTACATTCCAGGAGAACTTTTCATGCTTTGTAGCAGATCATTTTTTTTTTTTTGGGACATTATTTTCAAACTTCAAGATTCACCATTATCTTGATATAATCACTTTTCTTGTTTGTTCATTATTTTATTTTTTGAAATAAATTTTTGATTTGGCAGTCCAGGCAATTCCTTTATTTGAGGCTGCTTTCACAAGATGTACAGTTATGTTGGTGCTATCATATATATGGTTGAGAAGGGGTGAACAGCCGCTTTTTGCAACATCCCATGTTAGGAATATTTTGATTTCAAGAGCCCTTGTAGGCTGTTTGTCTTTGTCAAGTTTTGTATATTGGTGAGTTTTCTTGTTTTATGATTTTTTAAAGTATTTTTGTGAGCATTTCATAGATTATTCTCGATACTTTTGCCTCATTTCTTCATTGAAGATCTTTTCCCTACTTTTTTCCTTAGCAGAAGTTATCATAGTTTTAGGATTTAGGATCATGGATTCTTTTATTGAATATTTTGAGTGTTCCACGGACAGGGGATGGCATACCATAAAAAGCTCTTTGGTTTATACAAATACTGTAATTGCATTACTAGCCACCCAACGTGTTATCCAGTAAAAATATTTGTGAATGTTGCATTGCATTTGTATGTATCTTGTAACTCACAAGTATGAAATGGTAAAGGTCAGAGTCTAGGATGTAATTCTGTCTTAATGCTCCTTTAGAATTTAATTAGTCGCAAACTACTGTAATAACAAGAATTCTGTTCTTTTCAGTGTTCAGAGGTTGCCTTTCTCTCAGGCTAGTGTATTAAATTTAACAACTCCTATTATGGCATCAATTATGGCTAGGCTCTTTTTGCATGAGAAGTTGAAAATTGCAGATATTGCAGGTAAAATATTTTAGTTCAGTTCTTAAGATCCAATGAGAATAAATATGTAGATTTTCTGTGTGAAGAACCCAAAAAGTTATAGTTTGGTTGGATGATTTTTAGGTGGAATAACCATCTCCTCAGTTGGTTATCATTTTATGAGTGCTTGTTTCTATGCATGTTTTTCCCATTCTATATTCCTGGACTTCTTGTTATCAGATATTTCAAGCCATGCCCATGAATCGTTGCCCTTATTAACAATCCTAAAATTGCATTCGTTAAGCCTTGAAAGTCTTAACTTTCTCTTTGGTTGGGGTCTGTCTATTTTCTTTCTATCTCTGTATTTTGTATGCAAAGAGGAATCATAACTATTATGTAACCAACAATAAGATATTTTATATAAACATAGCCATTATTGCAGAGGAAAAAATTGTAGTAAAAGTTCTGAATCAGTATGCGACTGCTGAGATCAATTAGACACTTGGTTTGAATAAGATTTATAGTAATTGTCAGATGAGTCTTGGGCCTTGGCCCATATTTATGCTTAACCTAGTTCTAAGTTTTCTTTGTTTGGTGGTTGTTAGTTGTTCAAACTTGTTATTATTTCCAATGTACTTACTGCTTTGTTTATTCTGTTTGACTTTGGGAGTGAATCATTTATTGCTAACTGTTATGGTCCTCTCTATATGTACCCATCTTTTTTTCCTCAGTCAATATAGAGAAATACAGAACTTTTTTTTCCTGCAGTAATGATTGATTATTTATTGTCATTATTTCAGGCCTTGCTTGCAGTTTCTTTGGTGTGCTCTTCTTTTTCCACGAAATGCTTGCTACACAAGGTATAGCAGCTTTCACTCTCAGTCCGGTGAATGTATCATTTTTTTGTATGATTTATGAATTTGAATATTTGTTGTTCCTTTATGTTATAGTTGGTTTGCAGATTTATGAATGTACTGGGCGAGAATGTCCTAGACTTTGAGAATGCTGCGATCTATTAGTTTATCTAGTTCTAATCAAGTTTTTTATGTTTTTGTTTATTTCTAATAATTGAGAGGAATAATCTGCGTTTTATTTTTTGATGATTCAGTAAGAACTGTAATTCAGCTTAACTACTCTTTCTATTTTTTGAATTTCAGGACAGTTAGTTAAAGCTGAGGAAGAAAGTAATGCAAATTATAAAGGAGGTCATATATTTGCATTATTATTTGGTCTCGTTTCATCAATTACCAGTGGAAGCAGCTACTGCCTTATAAGGGCTGCAGCAAAAGCTTCTGATCAGCCACTGTAAGATCGTAGAGTTGTTTGCTGGTATATGCTTGTCATTATTATTTTCCTGGATGTTTATGCTCTGACTCACAAGCTTTTTGGGTGCCAGAAGAGGATCAAATGTGAAACCCTTTACCCCCCAGCAAAATGTCAAAATCTGACAAACTCATTGCCGAGCTATTAACTTTATGCCTTATTTTTCTTCATTTTTAGTTTTATTTTCATTGCGGTTCTTATTGTGGGCAATGTCCTAGGATGGCCTAAAACTTTGTTCTAAATTCTTTTGATTTATAATTTACAATTCATTTAGAATCCTTCAGGATATATAGGGAACACTAGATTATGGGGAAAATCTCTCTGATACTGCTTATGGGTTAGGCTAGCAACGGTCCTGCTGCTCAAGTCCAGGACGCTTGATGTGATTACAGGGGAGAAATAAAAGCAAGACTTTAAAACCATCTAATCCCTAAAAATCTGCAATGTGATGATCTAGACAGAAAAAGAAGTTAAAGATTTAAATCACTAAACAGCATAATTGTGGGAATAATATGTCATTAAGATATACTTAATTTGGAAAGGTTAAGATTCATGGGTAAGTTAGGCAACAGGGATGCTAACTTGCTAGGCTTTTAGGTTGTAGCCTGGATAGATAGAATACTTCTTTGGACAGAAAAAACTAGAGCTCGTGATTGTTGCACTGTTGCAGTATTTCGTAGTGTAAAAAGGGAATGAAACTATACAAACAGGGGGCTTGTTATTTCTTAGTAATAGTCAGAGTTATGGTATTTTGGCATTGAAAATAAATCCAAGTTAATTAGCCATATTGATAACTTGCCAAGATTCACTTATTTGATAACTTTGGAGTCAAACCATATTCAGCACGAAATGCCTGGTATGGCGGATTTAAGTATGCATGTTGCTGACCGTGTTCCAGAGGTATGCCGACAAATTAAAATTTGCTACGCTGCCGTGCAATTCTTGTAACTCCAAATTGATGTTGGAAAGAAAAAAATTTACTCTTTAATGTAGGGTAGATAGAAGCACATTTGATTGTAAAAATTGTTTCATGTTTTATCTACCGAAGGAGACGCTAATATTCAGTGAAATTGGAACTAATTGAGTAATTTAGAGAGAGTTTTTATAAGTTCTCTAACTTCTGGAATTCTGCCTTCTTCCAGGGTAACTGTCCTTGCATTTAGCATGCTGGCTAGCCCATTGATGGCCCTATGTACCTTCTTCTTTGAGGTAAAGTCATGGCGCATTTAAGCTACTATTTTTGGGACAGTGCTGTGGTATGCTACCACCAAGCCTTTGGTAATCTACAACAGGTGGATGCTGGTAATAAATAATTGGTAACCGGGGAAAAAAAGAAAAGCAGCTTCCATGAAATGTCTGATTTATTTTCCTCCATTACTTTGCCAACATTTCTAATTCATCATTTATTATAGCTTTTTTACAATCTATTCTATAACCTTTTGCTCTAGGGTATAATTTTTTTTCTGGATAATTCTTGAATGGTGTTTTACATCAAATATATTCCCTCTTTAAATACCTTACATGGATGAAGAAAAGTTATTTCAGTAACCGTGGAGGACAAATAGATGATTTCATGAGTTTCTAGGAAATGATTGATCGTTGATGCGCAGACAAAAGTTTACTTTATATGTCAAAGTTCTAAAGCACTATAGTTTTTTGAGTACCATGACCTACTTTATATGACATTTGAAAAGGATAGATGAATATAGGCGAGAAATGAACATTAAAGAATTCACAAATGGTTGTAATGCTAATCCAAATAACCACCATTCTGATGAATATAATACTTAGATGTCGGTCATCCTTTCTGCAAGTTATTAGGCGTTCATAGAAGGCATCTCAAGAGCCTTCCCCCTGGAATCATGTTTGTAGACTTCTAACTACCACATAAGTAATTTGGTGCCACTGCAGGTACAAAAGCTTCTAACTAATTAAATAATTTCTCTTAGAATGTCAATCACTGGCAAAAGAAAAATTTTCATCGTACTAGTGATTAATTTAGTGACTTCAGCAAAATCCGAACAATGACGCTAGTTGTCACTTTTGCTGCACTAATAATTTGTATTCTTTTTTTTTTTTTTTTTTTGCTGTTTACACACAATTTTAGCTACTTAAATTACAGCATCATAGGCTCCTCATGATATGATGCATTCATAAATTATAGTAATCCACGGAATATTTAATACATCATAGCACATTCATTTGTTCATTACTGAGAATATAGAAAAATGTGGTTTCTGAAGTGTCGTGGCATTGGCTACCTACCTTTAGGATGCATCAGATGTGGTTTGGTCTAGCTGGTTATTGTTAGCATTTCATTGATTTTCACCAAAATTCTCAGCCATGATTAATCTGTGTCATCTCTCTTATGAACTTCGTTGATACTTTGACAAAATAAGACCGTCTTGTTGGTGCAGGATTTTGTGCTCCCAGGATTTCAGTCAATTATACTCATGCTTGTACTTAGTGTTCTCGCCTTCTTTGCTGAGGTACTATCCTAGGCTATATTATGATCCTACTTTTTCCACCCTACAAAATTGTAATAGAGAGAGTCAGTGAGTTTCATAACAGGCTCATCATGCTTCTTAGTAATAATTGACTGCATAGAATTTTTAGTTTCTCTGGGGATCATCAGCTAAGGGAAAGTAAGATATGAGGAGCAAAAAGAATATTCAGCACTGTGTTACTCTAATGTATTTCATTTTTTGATCTTTTTATCCAACAATCATATTACTTGTGTTCTTTTTCTAATATATACTTTTTGTATAAAATCTTGTAACTTTTTCCTTGCTGTGCCCCGAGGGATATGTAAAACATTGTTCTCTGTGGAATACATTTTTAACAATGTTGTTCTTAGTTCACATTATATTATGACGTTTTTTGGAGAACTACCTGTGTATTAATTATCAATTTCATGAAGTCAAAGAAAGCAGTGACCAGCTGTTTCTTCGTTTGAAGTGACTCAATATTGCGTCATTTGCCATTCATCCAAGTCGTATGATGTGATTATTGCGTTCTAAAAATATTCATGTATGAATGGTCTAAAATAGTACCCTTGTATCATATTGCTATAATAACAACCTAAATTGAAGGCACGCTAAGTTATGGCTAGCCAATTAAAAGTAGGGAATGAAAGATACTTGCTGAACAGCCATCCAAATAGGATACTAGCATTTTGACCATTCCACGTGTATGGTTGAAAGGTGACATGGAACTTTTCCTGTATTCAAAAGCATTGTTTGCATTGAGCACGACAAGTAGAACAGGAATGACAAGCTGAATTCAGAACGAAATAGAATACATCAGTACACATGTCCTTTCTTGGTGCTTCCCGCTCACCTCTCTATAGTTTATGAGTTCTGCTTTTCTTGACATGGTACAGTGTTAAAGGAAACTAAATACAGATAGTCAAAATAGATATTAATTTAGTGGTTCAAGAAGGGGGACTTTGGATTCACATTTTGCATTCTTGATGCCTTTAAAAATGGTGGTAATCGAACTATAGAAAACAGAGATGGGAGAAGGACTTCTTTGTGTGCCTGAATAGTTGTTTTTATTTATTTTCATAATTCCATATGATCAATTTAGGCTGGGTGTGCATTGCATGGAACCTAAAGAATCAGTTCTGTTGTTTAGGTCTTATGAATAATGTGGCTTGTTATAGATTTTATATTCTCTATTGATTGTTATAGATTTTATATTCTATATTGATTGTCCTTACAAGAAGAAGAAGAAGCCTTATCCTGCTAGAGAGGACATGGATTGCATGGTACCACTATGCTCTATTAAAATATTGATTGTTCTTAAATAAAAAAGATTTTAGCCTTAAAATTAATTATTTGGCGTGATACTTTTAACATCATAAGTGCCTATGTCCCTCAAGTAGGAAAAAAAGCACATCTGAATGAAAGGTTTTGGGAAGACTTAGAGGGTTTGGTGCGTGGAATTCCACTAAGAGGAAAATATTTTCATTCGTGGGCTCCAGAATGGTCATGTTAGGAAGGAGGCAAGACAATATGTGGTAGCCTATAGTGATTTTGGCTGTGGGGAGCTTAATGAAGGACAATCTACTCTCGACTTTTCAGAGCATATATAATTTTTAAAGATTGTTAACACTTGCTTTAAGAAAAGATAGGAGCATTTAATCACGTATAAGAGTAGGACCTCAAGATCAGAAATCTTCTTCTTTTTGGTAAAGAATCAAGATAGAAGGCTCTATAAAGACTGCATGAGATTTGGACAAAGTCAGATTTATTGAGGATGAAAAACGAAATGCCTTGGTCACTGATGAAGGTATTATGGAGATGTGGGAGGGCTATTTCTACAAACTTTTCAAGGACAGATTGGGGTTGACTAGAGATGTGGAAGATTTAACAATCCATGAAACTGAATAGAATCTAGCTTTTCACTGCAGAATTCGAGCTGGAGAAGTCAAAGAAGCTATTATGAAAATAGACAATAGTGAAGCCATTGGAACCTGATTTTATCCCTAATGAGGTGTGGAAGTGCCTCGGAGAAAATGAGACATTAAAGTCAAAGAAAATGCCAAATGAGTGGAGAAGTATCCAAAACTGTGCAAACGACTAAGGGATAATACTTATAAGCCATGCTAGGAAATTATGGTAAAGAGCGATAGAGCATAGACTAAGAAATGAAACATGGATCTGAGAGAACCAATTTGGGTTTATGCCACTAACTGTCATGATATCAATTATTGAATAATGTATTGTTATGAGTCTCACATCAAGGAGTCTCACGTGAAAAATGGGACTTATAAATGGGGCTTTTCCTACCTAATGGACTAATAACGACGGTGTTTCATTGTCTGCTAAGTTGGGAGATTGAAGTAGTTTCCTGTGGTTAAAAGGAACAATGCTCTTCTTTGACCATATACTCTTTCTTCAATTACACCTTTTCTCCATGTTCAAACTCTATCTGCTCTTTGCTGTTGAATTATCCTTTGCTCATAAATCTCTTGCAGGTATTGTTAGCGCGTGGACTGCAACTTGAGAGGACTGGGAAAATTGTCAATGTCCTATACTTGGAGGTGTGCTAATTATACTGCTGGTTATCTCACTTCTGTTGTTTTCGTCACTATAATATAGAAGCGTTTCTTCTTGCTTGAACTTTGAAATTATAACTACCCCAACGGAAAACTTACTATTTGTTCTTTCCTTCATGTCATCTCCCAACGTGATACAGTAAAGCGAGGAAGTAACTCTCAAACCGTATCGCTACATTGCATTTAATTGCTTATGGTTAATGGGGGAAACCAGAGCACCCATAATCCTATTAAACATTCCCCATTGGGTATAATGGACAAATGTAATGCAAGTTTTGATCCTCTGCGATGGTATTGTGATGTTGTGGTACTAGAATTGGGAACGTACAAGACATATTTCATTTATTTACACACACGCTGATGTTCTCTCTCTACTGCCTTTTGCTTTCAGCAGTACATGCCATGAATTATTTATTATGGAGGATCTGGACTGATGTTATACTGGGGGAAGTTGTTTAATCAATTATCCCAACTCTCTTTAGTATGTGCGAACAATAAGATTGTTTGGGAAAAGAATTATAAATTTGCGAAATAATTGAAATTATATTTAGAACCAAAACAAATTCTTCAACTAGTTCCTGCATTTAGGATTACCGGTGGTATTTATTTGCTCTTCATTTTATAAGCTATGTATCTCCGTCACTAAGTACTGCTTGCTTGCCTTGTTAATTCCTTGGTTTCAGACTTGAAAACCTGGTCTGGTGATTGATATAAGCGACCCTTTTCTTTTATTTCAGGTAGAACTATCACAATTGTGGAGGCTTGCATTTTCAAGAGTGGTCTTGTCTTTCGGTCAGGTTATTGGATTCTCACTGGTGATTGCTTCTGTATGTTGGACTTTGTATTTGGGACCAGATAAAGAGTTGGGATGATATATTTAAATCAGTTATTTGCTGGGATTTACTCCTAATTAGTTGCTGTCATTTGTTGTTTTGGATTTGGGATCCGCTAAATTGAGGATCGTAATCATGAGTGAATTTTGCTATATTTTCAAAGAGGAAAAAAGAACAAAACAAAAACCTATTTTTGTTCAGAAAAACAAGGGAAAAAAAAGAAGAAAATTTACTTAATTTCCCCATGTCCAACTTCCCTAGGTCCAAATCGGCAGCATTCAACTAATTTTATGGATAATATTCATTTTCTTTATGTAAAGGAAATATTACTTAATTGTTGGCTAATGCGTATTTCGTTTTTGTCAAATTAGAATATATATATATTCTCCTGAAAAATGTTTGCCTTCCATGGGTTATAGGATGCGAAGCATTTTTTTTGTTTTTTTGGTTACATATAGGTATTCTCTTGTTAAAGACAAATTTATTTGAGATATTATTAAGTACTAAATGTGAATATTTTTCTTAATAAGAATTTGAATATTAATTTATCATATTATAAGAGACTAGCATCTTCTGTTTAGATCAAGTCCCGATAGTGGATACGAAACATTGCAAGTATTATGCATGTAGGTTCACTCAAAAAAAAATATTATGCATTTACGGTTAAGAGTTTTGGTAAAATCGAGTTGGCCCATTTTAACAGGTTTGTTAGGTTAGACCCCCAAAAAAAATCCAAATAACTTTTTTTATATTTTTTAATTTCAAAATTCGAATCATATAACTCATAGACTCATAGATAACAAATTTGACTATGCTGTTTTGTTGTCATTATTGTGCTTAATTTGGTGAGTGGACTTGTATTTATGTGAGTGCAAGATACGTCATTTTGCTTTTATGGGTTTCACAATTTCTAAATGTGAGGCTAATTAAACTAATGCTCATACTTTAAATTTGGTTATAAACAATAAACAATTACAAAAATATCCCCTGGGTGATTTGTCAGTTTTGTACTAATTTGAAAGTAAGAGGAAACAATACTGAACAAAATCTAAAAATCGAAAGAAACCAAATGGAGATGATTGTTATTCTAAATATATAACATTTAACAAAAAATTATAATTTTATGATTACTAAAAATTACAATGATTGATGATAATGAAATAAGATGCAGTCATATACAACAGCATTAATGACAAGCTTCCAATAGAGATGTTCGGACGAAGATGCTTCTCATTGAATGTGGTTAAGGGCGTCAACATCTCAATCTGTCATTTTTCACTTCGATCTAGAGAAAGAAATGAAAAAGGAGGGCGATGACTTGAAATAGAGTGGTGGAACAAAAGTTTTATCTTAGTTTATATAAAACGTGTTTATAAGTGATTTCAATCGTAATAGTAAATAGGGCCATAGATTGGTATAACAAGAGCTGGTGGCGGTGGGGATGATAATGATGAATAGGTGGAGGAAGATGATGTAGGTAAATGGAGGAAGAAGAATGATGATATTTATGGGGAGCAATGAGATGATGAAAGGTAAAATTAGAATATTAAAAAAAAAATAATAGGGACAAATTAGTTAAAATTAACAGGTTATTTTCGAAATACTGAATAGTACTTAAAAGAATTTTCAAGATTCTGGATTGTTGCCAACAAATATGATGGTTTATAAAAAAAATATCATCTTCACATATCTTACTCACCAATCAAATTAAATGTGAAAAACTGAGGCCATCCTCGAGTCTCAAGAAGATGTGATGTTTAATCAAAGAAATCACACAAGCCCGTTGGGGAATCTCAGGAAGATATGATCTTTAATCAAAGAAATCACAGAGCGAGTGGAAGTCACTGACGCTGAGTGGATCTGATCTTACAAGAACCAAATTGCAAAAGAGAAAAAAAAGAGTAAGGAATTAAAGAAGAATATAAGTACATCACACTTTCAAAATCCAACAACTCCATAGCGACACCGGGAGAGAAGAATGAGAGATTGAGGTCTAGAAAGAAAACCCTTGGTCACACCACAAAACTTGTGCTTCTGTAGCCTTACCGTTCTGCTAAACACCACACAATAACAAAACCATGAATTGACACGGGACAGTACATAGCTTCAAGAATTCATGGAGACGAAGGCCTATGAGGGAGAAGGAAGAAGATGAAGAGAGGAATGGATGAAGGAAGAACCCATAACCCATCTGCTATATATAATCAGAGAGGAACATTGAAGTCTGCTCAGACTTGTGATGAAGCGTTATTAGGAGATCCTACACTGTACGAAGATCTGCTGCAGATATGGAATCAGAACGCAGAACGAGCAAGGACATAATTATCTGTTCGTCTCTCTCACTTATTTTAGGCTTGTTCTGTTAAATTACAAGCCATTCTTTTCTCTCAAGCAAATTCCATTTCCATGAAAAGTTATAGAGTCCACTGGAAGAAGGAATCAGGGCGTACAGTGAAGAAGCTGAAGAAGAAAAAGACGAAAGTGATGAAGCTGATCAGACCCAGAGTCACATTAGGCTTGATCATTGGTCCAATTCTCCAACATTGAAAAAGCACACGCATATATAAATATATATATATATATATATTTATATGTGTGTGTGTAATATACACTGCTTGACGTTGTTCAAATTTACTCTTAAATCCCGTTTGGTATCAAGTATTAAGAATGAGGGGTAGAGATTGAAATTAGAATTCAAAAACCTTATTAAAAGAATATTTAGCATGAGAGATTTCTTATTACATGAGATTATTATTCATGCTAAATACTTTTTTAATTATTTTTTTCAATTATAATCTCAGTCCATGTCCCTTATTTTTAATGTTTTGTACCAAACGGATCTTAAAGTATTCTGCAATTCAAGTCTACTCTTAAATTATCTTTTTAGTAGTAATTTAACTTTACTTTTAACCTTTAAAAAGTCTGTTAAGTGAAGATACATCTATTTGAAAGTATCTTTTGAAAGTATTTTGTAAGTTAGTTTTTTGGTAGAATTTTTTTTCCTGAAAGTATTTTGTAAGTTAATTTTCTATCACTCCTTTTTTATATTTTCAGGACTCATTTTTCATATTTTTGGTATTTATCTTTGAAGAAGCTAAATAAGAAGACGACGACGATGACTCGAGAGTCACTTGTAGACTTCATCATTGGTCCAACTCCAAACACTCAGAAAATTATTTATAAGTACATAATATATACACAGCTTGACGTTATTCAAATTTACTCTTAAAGTATTCTGCAATTCTTTAGTAACAATTTAACTTCTCTTTTAACTCTTAAAAAGTCTGGTAAGTGGAGGCATATCTAATATTCGAAAGTATCTTTTCAGTAACACTTAACAACTTAAATTAATTTTTTGCTACAATTTTGTCTTAAAGTATTTTGTAAGTTAATTTTTTATCACTCCTTTTTTTTTAATATATTTTTAGTACTCATTTTTCATAATGTTAGTATTCATCTTTGACATTTTTAATTATAATAAGTTTTTCAATTGTTTCAGTAGTCATCTTAAATATTTTCTATACCTATCTTTCATGTTTTCAAGATAAGGAAAAATTAAAACTGCTTCTAAAAAATATATTTTAAAAACAAAATTTGATCACAAAATATTTTAAAATGCTAAACGCATATAAAAAAATATTTCAAAATGAAAAATAAACTTTAACTCATTCAAAAATTGAGTTATCTTTGAAGAATAAAATATTAGTGACTCCAATTATACTAAAATGGATTTGAGTTTGCCACAGATTTTGCTTGACAGAGTTGTAAAATTGTGTTTTAATATCCCTTATCACTGCAGTTAAAATGTTAGCAACAATATAATATATCACGTAAAGGCAAATATTACTTCAATATGGGCTTGTGTGCGCGTGTGTGTGTGTTGTTTTATCCAATCAGATTATATTTTCTTTTTTTTCCCCCTAAAATTGAGTTGGCCCATTTTAATGAGAGAGTTGGGTTGTGAAAAAATCAACCCAAACACTGGTTTTTGTAATTATGAATTTAACCCATCAGTTAAATAGGCTAAGGCGTTGGCCCAAAAAGAAAAAGCTAACTCATTTAACTATGAATTCCAAAAGATTTGGCATGCCCGCGTGTTGTATTCGTGAGTTTTGAATGTTGTGAATGCAAGACATATCATTTTGCCACACAGGTTTCACATTTTTCAATTGTGAAAATTTTCATAATTTAACTTTATTTATAAAAAATTACAAAAACATCCCATATATAATTCGAAAGAAACCAATTCAAAATTCATAAATTTCATTAACTTGTTATAGATTTTTAGTTTATATTAGGGTTGAAGAATTCGGGAGGCATGTGAACACATTGACAGGTGAAGCTTGAGAGAGGAGCAGCATCCTCCTATTTTCCTCCTTTGAAATTTAGAATCACCAAATAAAAGATAGTCAGGAATTAGATGTCAGGAAAGAATAAAGCAATAAATAAATGGCAGTTCCATCATTAGGTGTCTAGAGAAGTTAGAATTAGATGTATATGAATTATGTGCTTAGATAATAATAGAAATAGTACTACCCAAGCCTTAATATAAGATCTAGTTGATTAATTTGAAGAGATTAACGAATTTAGTTAAGTTGGTTATTTATTATAAATAGTTGTTGTCTTTTCTAGAGTACCCTTGCTAATCATTATATTAGCTAAAATTATCATTTAATGAAACTTTTAACATGTGTAACTATTATGGGACTTATTTTGGAAAAAATAAATAAATATGAAAAACAAAATGAACTGAGATCTTATATTTAAAACCAAATTGAAAGTCAAACAATCTCTTATAATAAGAAATTAAAAAAAAAAGAAGATAATTTGTTAAAAAAAAAAAAGAGGAATTCAATAGTGCTACCTCATTTTAATCAAAGAAATCATAATGGAGGACATAAGAGTCCGTTTGGTACAGGGAAATGAGAGGGAAGAGAGGGAAGAAAAAATTTTAAAGAGCTTGTTTTAAAAAATTAAAGAAGTTGGGTTAAAATTTTCTAATTAAATTTTCTTGTTCTTTTATCTTATATTTTCATATCAAAATTTTATAACCCACTTCTTTAATTTTTTAAAACAAGCTCATTAAAATTTTTCCTTTCTTTCTTTTCTCTTCATTTCTCTCACACCAAACAGACCCTAACTTGCTACAAATCTGAATCAAAACATCACGGTAACCAACAATTCTAGTTCTAAATGATTTGAGAATGTACAAAAATTAGTTAAAGTAGTTATTTGTAATAATAAATGAGCGTAGGCTTTTCTAAAATACCTTTAATAATCATGTGTATTGGAACTCCTTTTTGATAGAACTCCTTAACATCTGTAATCAACAGAAATATTTTAAAATGAAAATTATAACTTTGGAATACAAAGTAAATTGAGGTTTTTTATTTAAAATTAAAGTGAATTTCTTGTCTGCCTCTTAGAATAAAATAAGAATAGAATTTTGAATAATGCTTGTGCAGAAGTACCAAATATTGGGTACACCAGTCTCATAAGGATTTTATGATTGGAAAGTCTGATGGGGTTGTATGTGATGAACTTTCTTGAAGAAGAAATGAAAGAGGTCTTGTAAAGTATTCTCCACATGTTTGGTTACTGCTTTGGTTAGTCAACTTTGGTGGATCCAATTATGTAGAAAATGAAGTTAATTTGACAGAATTGGCAACACCTCACTTTCATCAAAGGAAATTGTGAAAAGAAGGTTAATTAAAAACTCTTCAGTGGATCCCACCAAGGTGCATGAATGACGGAAATTCATAATAGCAATTGAAGTATGGATCAATTAGGTTTTTCTCTTCCATCTCTAATTTAAGAGAAGAACTTCACATACCAATAATATCCAGAAGTGGGTTCCACCAATTAATGCACAGAATTAAGTGTGAACCTGTGACTTGAGAGAAGCAGACGAAAACTCTACAATCTAAATAAAGTGATTGACTGTGATTTGAGGCAAAGACTAGGGGGGAAAAAAAGGTTGGAAGACTTGAAAAGAAGGGGGGGTTAGAAGACTTTTGTGAAGGAAAAAAATACAAAGACTGTACAAAAGGACGAAATCTTGAGAAAGAGTAAGCTATACAAATATTTCTTCTATTTTTGAGAATTAACGTAAATTATCTTAAATTTTGCTAAAATATATACAAACATTCATTTTATTTTTAAATGCAAATTAAATCGTGTCAACTTCCTTCAATTTGTTTTTTTTTTCCCTAAATAATAATCGTGCAAACCTCCTAGCCACTTTCAAAATTAACTTCTGCTGACAATGGAAAGAATCTTCAAAAACATTTAGAACAAGTCCATGCATTTTATCTTTCGTTTTTTTGGGATTTTTTTGATACATTTCAAAATTAAAGAGAAATTTGTGATAGAAAAATATTGAAGGAAAAGTTCAAGCAATTCTTTTTAAAAAAATTTAGTGAGGTTTTGTCTAAAATTTTCTATAAAGAAACCGAATATATATTTTCGCAAAATTCAAAAAAAAAAAAATCATGTAATCCCCCCTGGCATTAAAATGCCAAACATCAACTTCACCACCAGATATATATAAACATAACATAGCTAAGATATTTAACAAGCCTTCAAAAAACCGTTTTCATCCTTGCTTCGTCTCTTGATCAAACCACTACCATGATGATGCTTCGTTTTACATCACAAATCTCTCTTATTTTGTTGGTGTTACTATGTGCAGTGACATTCAACAGAATCTTTTGCTGCCATGAAAGGGATCGAAGTTTACTATTAATCTTCAAACAAGGCGTTGTAGATCCTTCTTCTCGCCTCTCCTCTTGGTCAACTCAACAAGATTGCTGTGAGTGGCATGGAGTTTTATGTGATCTCAACACCGGCAGAGTCACAAATCTTTTTCTGCAAAACCAATTTCAGAATGGTTCAGAATCCTTGGGAGGTGAAATCAACTTACCTTCATTACTTGAACTTGAATTTCTACAAACACTGGACTTGAGCTTCAATGATTTTCAACGTATAAGCATGCCATCGATCAATACTTCTGCTCTTGTTCATAGTCATTTACCTGCAAATTTTTCCAAGCTTTATTTCCTGAGATTATCACACAATGATCGTCTTCGCATTGATAATCTTCACTGGCTTTCCCGACTTCCTTCCTTGACCAGTCTTGATCTCAGTGGCATTCATCTTCCTATGGAAAAGAATTGGGTTCAATCATTAGCTTCACTACATCTGGAGAGATTATACCTGCGTGATTGTCAGTTGACCAGCTTCATTTTGTCTATTGAGAATGCCAGTTTTAGCTCACTCTTATTTCTCGATCTTGGTCTAAATGATTTTAGACATGGATTGCCTAAATGGTTGTTTAATCTTAGTAGTGACCTCTATTATATTGATCTCAGACAATGTAATGTAAGAGGTCAAATTCCAGATTTTTCGGCCTACCGAAACCTGCATATCTTAGAACTATCAAACAACAAACTCACAGGATCAATACCAGATTGGTTAGGCCAGCTTGCTCGCTTAACTAGCCTTAATCTATCTATGAACTGGTTTCATAGTTCCATTCCTTCCAGTCTCGGAAACTTATCAACTTTATCATATTTAGATATTAGCTTTAACCAATTGAGCGGGACGCTTCCAAAAGCCCTGGAGCAAACCTATGTGATATTGGGTTTGTCACACAACTCAATTGGAGGAGATATATCAAACTTGTTGCTGACCAGTGATTTTGTACTTATGTCATATAATAAGTTTGAAGGACAGCTTCCTCGTATATCATCTAATGTCATCGCTTTGGATTTGGCTTACAACTCTTTCTCTGGATCTTTATCCTCTCTTTTATGTCACACTGAGAGTGACATAAATTCCTTGTTGTATTTGGACACATCCAATAATTTTCTGAGTGAAGAACTTCCAGCTTGTTGGAGCAACTGGCCACGCTTGTCTTACATCTACTTAGGGAGTAATAAGTTGCCTGGTGAAGTTCCTCCATCCATGGGTTCATCATTGCTTAAGCTTAGGTCTCTAGATTTACATAATAATAGCTTTTCTGGAGACATACCATGGACTTTTCAGACTTGTGCATCTCTGGTGCTGATCAACCTGGGAGGAAACAACTTTGCTGGAACTGTACCAATATGGATGCAGCAAAGTGTAGCAGTTTTAAAACTGAGATCCAATCAATTCATAGGCGACATTCCACCACAGATATGTAATCTGTCTAATTTAATTGTGTTGGATGTTGCAAATAACAAACTTTCTGGATCCATTCCTTCCTGTCTACACAACTTAACTAGCTTGGTTTCAGGACTTCTCAGTAATGCTCTAATCAATGAAGCTGCAGATCTGCCTGTGTGGGTTAACTACCCAACTCCATATGAATTCAAAATTGATTTGCATATAAAAGGTCAAGAATTAAAGTATGAAAAGAACCTAAAACTTGTGCGGAGCATTGATCTCTCATCTAATAAGCTATCTGGAGAAATTCCTGCACAGTTGTTTGGACTCAACATGTTGCAATCGTTGAACTTGTCTTATAATCATTTGACAGGAGGGATATCAGAGAGGATTGGGGAGATGAAATTTCTCGAGTCTCTTGATTTCTCCCACAACAGTCTTCATGGCAATATTCCTCAAAGCTTCTCCACTTTGTCTTTTCTAAGTGTTTTGAATCTGTCATATAACTACTTCATTGGACAAATTCCACTAGGGACACAGCTTCAAAGTTTTGATGCATGGAGTTACATTGGGAATCCTGAACTTTGTGGTGATCCTCTTCAAAAGAAATGCACAACAGAAAGAAACCCAAATAATACAATACAACTACTTGAAGGGAATGACGATGACGCTTTTCTAAAGTCATTGTATCTTGGAATGGGTGTTGGATTTGCGGTTGGATTCTGGACAGTTTGTGGTTCTCTGTTCTTCAATAGAGCATGGAGGCATACTTGTTTCCGGTTCTTTGAGTTCATAACCGGTCAAATCTACGTCTCAGTGGCCACAAAGCTTCGGAGATTATTCTCTTTATGGGAATAAGTTATAGGTAAAGGTCAATTGTAAAGTATTTTTTTTCTTTATTTAATTTAAGGTGTTCTTATATTATATAACACACACATATATATAGTTTCCTTGTTTCTGAACATTTTATCATTGTTGTAATGATTTCCTCTTTCTGTTTGTTACTTGTTAATAGACCAATTGCATGACATTGTCTATGTAATGCCATGAGTTGGATTACTCATCAGTTCAGAAGCTCTGCTCTCCTCTTTCCATCCTCTTTGTTCCTCTTTTTTTTTTTTAATAACTATTGGATTAACATATTTCAATAGTTTAAATTTTAATTTTTATAAACTATTTATAGAAAAATTTTAAAAATATTTAGTGCATTTACAAGCCATTAGATTTAAATTTTTATAGAATTTGTAATTTATTATTTATTTCTATAATTTAATATTTTAATAATAGTTTTCAAAAGATTTAAATCTCAACTGTTAAAATATTAATCCAATGGTTAGAAAAAGAAGACAGAAAAAAAAGCATGGAAAGGAAAAAGAAAAGGTTTTGAACCAAATTGCTTGTCTGATTTTAACGGTGTTTTTTTTTTTTTTAAGAAAAAAGTTTAGGTGAGTTGAGTCCAAATGTTTATTAGGACTAGGACACGTTTTTGTTTAATAGTGTGATTTTGTTTAAGCTTATGTTGCTATTTATGGTATTATTTGCTACTTCTATGATTTTTCAGGCCCAAAAAAAAAAGTGAGTGTGGTTTTAACGGATGAAACAAGGATTACTGTGTATTTTTTTAGTTCTAAAGTACATATTTTGGATTAAATTACCCTTTGTAACATTGATAACTCTCTATTTTTAATATATTGAAAGAATATTTTGAGTGATTTTTGGAGAGTTATCAATAAGATTTTGGATGATTTAAAGGAGATTTGAAAAGAAATTAATTGTGAGCATTATTTGAAGGATTTTCTTGTAAGTACCTTAATTTGGAATTAATAAAAATAATTTATACTAAGTTTAACATTTAGTTGATTTTATCTTATCTTATTTTAATTTCTTAGCGTTTATTCCTTTCTCTTTTATTTGTTTTATTTTATTTTCCCTCCTCCCTCAGCTTTCACGCAACGCACCCTTTGGAGTCAAAGGGAGCTTGGAACAATGAGGAGCACGAGCTGACTGTGGAAGGCTGGACGCAGCGTTTTGGAAGAGACGGGTTCTGTTTTGAAAGGGGAGGCCGCCGAATGAGTGAAGGGGGCTGGTTCTCGTTAGAGGAACACAGGACGGCGCCGAACTCTTGTGGAAGAAGGGAAGCGTACCGTTCTTTTGCTGGAGCTCGACGGAGACAAGCAAGGAAGAGCTGGTGGATCATCTTCTTTATCTGAAAGGCGACGAGCTGGTTCGAACAAAGGCAGCTGGTTCTAGTTCAAGGGAGAGAAAAGCTGGTTCTGGGTTGAAAGAAAGGAGCCGAACTGGTGTAGTGAGGCTGTGTTTTCGACATTGTTCGGATCATCTTCTCTGCTGGTGGCCAACTGATTCTGCAGGAAAATGGCGACAGCAAGGAGCTTGAGAGGACGAGTTCAGGCGAAGGATTGAGGAGAGGAGACCACTAGCAGTGTTCTGTTTTTTTTTTTTTTCCTCCTTTAATTTCGGTTATGAATTTTGAATCTGAATTTTATTGTTGCTGAGACTGATTATATTCATGTGTAGCTAATTTTCTTTACAGCCCAGGGAACTATGAACTTGTTAGTAGGTTGACCTTTGTTTTCACTGAATTGGGAATACTTAATGTTAAAATTTGGTTACTTAATATTGTTCTTTATTTGTGAATTTCACCGTTAATTGTGAATTTGAGAATTAAAATTTTTCTTGACAAAGGAGGTTTTTAATTAAGCTCTTAGATTAAGTAATATGAGATTGGATGATAATTTAATTTGTGATTAGGATAAAAATATACCTAATTGCCCCCTATAATTGTTGACAAGTGAGACCAAATTGTTTAGCCTCTTAGTAATTGTGTGTGAGATTACATAATTAATTTTAGGGCTGCACATAGGCAGGGCTGAACAAGGTAAGCCCTTGCCTGATACCCAACCCGGAAGATGAGCAACCTAAAAGATGAGCAAGCTGCGTTTTGTAGCCCGTACCTGGCCCTGCTCAGTAGAAACCCTAACCATTTTGGGCAGGGCAAGGGCAGGTTGGGCAAGGTAGGCTTTTCTGCCTAGCTTAATGACACCATGCCCTATATAATATGTAGGAAAAAAAAATTCAATTATCGTGTTTTGAGACAAGTGAGAAGAAAAAAAATTATCACGAATAAGTCTATCACTCATATATATATATATATATAAGGACTATGTAGTCTTGTTCTTCAGCTTTCGATTTCTTATGGGAGGTAAAAAATATATATATTTAATAATTAGAACATTTAATAATTACGCTAAATCAATAGTTTGATTTCTTAGTTTATTCATATAGTTGGCAGATTCTTATAATCATGTGAAAGCACAAAATTTGAAAGATGGTTTTTTTTTTGTTTTAAAAAATTGATGTAAGAGAAACAAAATAAAATTTGACTTAGAATAATTTAGCATACTGAATCTTATATTTTGATATTTAGCTCTTTTATATAATTATAATTTTTATGTTTCTTTCATTTTTTTTCTAATTTTACCTAATTTTTTTGCCAAAATAAAAGAGATCATTGTCTAAAATAATATTATCTTATATATATAATTGTATATTTTTTCGGGTAGGGCCAAATGGGCAGGCCAAGCAGCATACCCTGCCCGCTGTCCTGCCCTACCTGTGAATCAGCCCGACTTGAAGATGCCTATTTTTGCTTGGGCAACTTTTTATTGGGCTGGGTTGGGCGTTTTTCTTACAAGCTCGGGCAGGCTTATTGGGCATGTGAGCCTCATGCACACCCCTAAGTAATTTAAGAGAGGGTTATAGGTGGACCGACAGGCATTTGTAGCTAATTGAACTCTAGATTAACAAAATTAACATTAAGGCTAATCAATTCAATGAAACAAGGTTTGAGAAGCTAGCAAGGGATTAGTAACTCTAGGTTATTCTATTTAATATTTGCTCTAGTAATCTTGAGAAAGCTTTGTTTTGTTTTATTTTAATCTCTTTTCACTTAATTTCATTAAATCCTGATTTTCTCAACTTATGAAACAAGAATTTTTATTGCCTAATCACTGTTAACTGGTTCTCTGTGAGATCGACCTTGATTTGTCACTATCTATTTTTGTGACCTGTACACTTGCGGTGCATCTTAATATTTGGTAGCATCAAACATCCAGCATTTTATGTAGAAAATATACATGACGTAGTTGGGCCATTTAAAAGTTAAGGTTATAAGGCATTGTTCTATGTCATGGCTTGTATTTATATGTTTGACTAGTTGATAACCTTGCGCATATTATATTTGAGATGTGATTTGTTACCGAGATTTCCCAACTCATCCCATTTTTCCATGTCCAAATATAGGAGCAACCTCTTCAAAAGAAAAGGGCAAAGTGGTTGAAGATGGAAGAAGGTGGAGGCATTTTGTGAACTTTAATTTTGATGAATATATGTATATATATATATATATATGATCTGTGTATGTATATTATTTTGGAAGCTATTATAAGCTCTATAATTTATTATATCTGAAATGTTGACTGGGTTGTGATCTACCCATTCAAATACAATTTGAACATAATATTTCATATTTAAAACTTTTAACTGATAGATTTTAAATAATTAAATTATTTTTTAAAAAAATGACAGTTAAGATATTGTCTTTATTTTAAATTTTTGTAACCATTAAAATAATTTTTTTAAAAAATATTAAAATAAATAACATAAATCTGAACTATTCAGATTATATCTAGATGGTCTAGATTGGTGATAAGAACTGAAACTCTATCCGTAATAAAACTATTCTCCATGTTTGGTTATTGCTTTGGCTAATAAACTTTGGGGGATGTAATTCCGTCAAAAAGTTAAGTTTGACAAAATTGGCAACATCTCTATTCACACCCTTATCATTTTAAATGGCTAGCTTTTTATATTCTCTTTCCCTCTCTATATGCATAAATATATGAATGTACGTATAAAGAATGTAGAATTGTAATAAACGTGTTTTTGTATTCTCCACTTTCAAATATTTGCAAGGCATGTGAAGACAGAATCAGAATAGGACGAAGCTAGAAAACAGAAAGAAAGTTTTTGGGAGGCCATTCATGTAATCATGCAAGCTTTGTAGTTTTGGAGTTATATGCAATTTTGTTTTAAAAAAATAGATTAGATACAAACTTAGGGTTTGTTTGGTTTCTTATTTTAAAAACAATTTTTTGTTTTAAAAAACAGAAAAACAAAGAAACCTGTTTGGTAATTTGTTTTAATTTGTAACTTTTTTATTTTAAATACAAGGTAATAACTATGAATGAAAATACGACGGTACTACTGACATTGAAATGCCTGAAGGACTGTTAGTGAATGATTATGAAGATCCAATTGAAGGTATTGTCTCAGTTATTTATGGTGATGTCATTGCAAACCTTTCAAACAATGAATACTTCAATGATAGGGCAATACTTGCACTAAAAATCGAAATGATTGACAAGATTAATCAATACATGTGCTCTCTTTTGCCCGGTGAAGCCCATGAGTTCTTTAGTTCAGATTCAGTATGCCAGTCTTTGAATCAAAATGACAGCTTTGACAATCTATACACTACTGAATTTCTGAACACCATTAGTAGCTCTGGATTGCCACCACATAAGCTAATGTTGAAAGTTGGATCACCAATTATGTTGCTAAGGAATATAGATCAAGCGGAAGGACTATGTAATGGTACACGACTTTGTATTACAAAGCTAGGCAAGACTGTTATTGAGGCAATTACGTTGAATGGTTCAAAACCAAATCAAAAGGTTTTAATTCACCGAATGGACATGAACCTATCAGAAAGTAAATGGCCTTTCAAGATGAAGAGAAGACAATTCCTTATTACTTTGTCCTTTGCAATGACCATCAATAAGAGTCAAGATCAGTCATTATGTTATGTTGGAGTATACTTATAGAAGCCTGTGTTCACTCATGATCAACTATATGTAGCACTAACAAGAGTCAATTGCATAGATGGTTTGAAAATTGTTCTTCCAAAAAGTGCATCTACGAGTAAGAAGACTACAAAAAAACATTGTGTATAAGGAGATATTTAGCAACTTATAACTTGATGTTGTTGTATTGTGTCAAAATTCCGGTTGTTGAGATGACTTATTGTTTTCTTAATGTATTCACTCACTGTATGTTCATTATGTTTAATTAAAAGTGTTGCTAAAATTGTTTATTAATTGTTTGCCCCATAGAAATATTAATGTATAATTAAAAATTAGATTGCAATGAATGCTTCCTATGCAGAGTGCAGGAGAGGTGGTGCTAGTTGTTTTCAAAAGCAAAAAAGAGTAACATGTTTTTAAAAACTAAAAAACCAAAACAACTTTTACATGTTTTGTTGTTTTTGTTTTTTTATTTTATATTTTTTGTTTTAAAAATTTTTGAGAAATTTTTTTCTTTTCTTACTTACTATTTACCACATATCATTACCAATGATAAATATCACCTATCAAGTGTTTCTATGGTTTTTTTTTCAAACATGATTTTTAAAATTATTATCCAAACAAATTCTTTTGTTTTTTTGTTTTCAAAACTTGTTCTAAGAAATAATTTATAAAATTTTTTTAAAAATAAGAAAACAAAAAACAGAAACAAACAATTATTTCAAGTAGTTTTATACAATTCCGACTTATGGTGCGCAAATCATCGTTCCTTTTTTTTTTTTTTTGACCAGCCACGAATCACTATTCGAAGATATCAATAATATATTAACGTATACATTTCTTAGCTAAAATAAAAATAAATCAAACTAATCCTTTTTACCCAAGATTAATGATTCTAGCCGGTTTCTTCCTAACACCATGAGTCGTTGATGTCAATAAGAAATGAACACAAAAGGCTCTATAATACTTTATCGGATATTTTATTATTTAAAATTTAAAGCTAATAGATGTATTTGTAAACAACCTTTAATTGAATGATTATTTGTATGGTGTCAAAGGAAAAAAAAAATTAGTTGTTACTTAAATGAATTTTACTTTGTGAAGCGTTCAAACTACATTTAATTGTGAAAATGGAAAGAGAAGATAAGAAATTAAAATGATGCGAAAATGAATGCACTTATGATTCACTTTTCATTGACAAAAGACTTCAAGACTCGGAATGTGTTGTTACTTGACTATATGAAAAAGAAAAAAAAAAAAACAAGAAGACTTGACTATAAAAAACGTGATGTGATTAATTATTAAATAATTATAAAATTTGTTGGGTCATATAAAGGTTGATCTAAGACTTGACTACAAATTTTGAAAAGATTACACATAGGTCCCAACCAATACAATTTATTAATTTACGATCTCTTGAAATCTCAAAATGAATAAGAGGTCTCATGGGATCTGAGAGTAACTTATTCTAAATAAGAAATTACATCATCATCCTTGTCTAAATTGACAAGCTCATGAGCGTAGATTAACAAGTCAATGGGAAACTATTAATAAGTTAGGGGTACTGGCTGACAACTAAATTTATGAAATGATATAACTTTCACATAAGATCGAATTATAATAAAAGAGTATTATATAACAATTTTTAACCTAAAATCATATGTAACCAAAGCATGCAGAGATATTAGATGAAATAATGGGTTTATATTATAATTTTGTTGCAAACAATCATTAACAAGCCCATGAGTGTGGATTACCAAGTCAATATTGACAAGGTAGGAGGTGTTAATCGACAACTAAATTCATGGGATGATATAAACATTCACATAAGATCAAATTAGGAAAAATTCTTATATAATATTAATAAGTGCAAGGGCTTGTTCTATAACTTGGCATGAAAAATTGTCCCCTACTATTAATTTGTTGCCTCTGTGTGAATTCAAGTTTATGTGGCTCCAATTTAGTCCTACCTCATTTAGTGCCACACACACAAAAATTCACACACACACACACACACACGTAAATTTTACTGTTACTCTGAGGACAGTGTACCAAGATGAACGAAACGACTAAAATTATACAGTCAGTTTTGAATAAATGATTGGCGTATGCTGCAAATCATGAAAAGCATGTTTTCCCTAAGCATTGAATGACAGTTAATTTGTTGGCATTTCTTTAGCTTTGAGCCACAAAACCACTTCTTGGATCTCACCGCGCCAAGTATCAAGTGATGCATTTGATCCCAAAAAAAAAAAAAGCATCGTACTCATGATATTCAGCTTCTTAAATTCTTAATGTGCTGCTATATGCAATCTACACATGGTATCTGTCCTTGTTCTACAGCTCATTAATCTGTCCATAAAACAGATTCTAACGATTGGGAATCTGTAAAACGCCAACAAACATGAATCAAAGGAAGAATCTCAGCTCTATCTATCTTCTACGTTTCTCTTATTTCAAAACTCATTTAATATTCTTTTAGTCCCTTCCTTTTTGTAATCTTTAGTCCAGTGGGTGATTTCTCCACTACGAATTTTCTGGTTCAGAAACATCAGTCATATTTCGCATTTGATTTCCATAGTAATATATTAACTGCTGAAAGATGTTAAAAAGCCAAAAACAAGGTGGGATTTCGGCATTAGAGGAGTTTAGAAGATGCGCAGGTTTTAGCCGTCAAATTGAGGGCATAAGGATTGATGGAGGAATGAGCTACTGGGTTATATAAGAATTTTCTTTAATTTAATCTTATGTGGAGGTTATATTATTTTATAAATTTAATTGTCAACCGACACTTCCTAACTTGTTAATAGGTTCCTATTCATGTGTTAATCCATACACATGAGTTTGTCAATGGTTTTTGCAATAAAATTATGATATAAACCTATCATTTCATCTAATATCAATCTGCATGCTTTGGTCACACGCAATTTCAGCTTAAAAATTGTTATATAATATTCTTTTGTTATAATTTGATTTTATATGGAGATTATATTATCTTATAAATTTAGTTGTCAGCTGACACTCCCAGACTTGTCAATCGCTTCTCATTGACCTGTTAATCCATTCCCATGTGCAACACCTAACTTTTATATACTAATAGGGTCATGTTAATGTCTATACTAAGCTAGGTGTCTATCCCAAGAAAAATTGGGTATTTTTTTTCCAATTTAAAACATGAACCATTTGGAATTCGCTATTAAAGAAATTCAAAACTTTCAAAAACCCCAACCAGTGACCTATAATCAAACCCTATTCTTATGCAGTTTAATAAGAGACTTGAAGCCTTAATTAACTAACAAGTCACTATCCACAAGTAGAAACAAGGATCAAAGTTTAGTAATGAATACAAACATATAGCTATACCAAAGCCATCTCGGTTGATGGCATTTGCGTGTGCTTGATTTATGTAGACCTCTTTACAGAGGGTACAAGAGAATATCTGCATAAAGCAAGTATTGGTTACTTGCCATGATTATATATATAACTGTATAATTAACTTCACTAAAAAAATAAGCTACTATATAAGATACAAGATAATGCAGGCATTCTTGCTCTTCATAACTGCCCACCTTCTTCTCTTACAATCTTCTTTTCCTTAGAGTTGCTCACCTTTGCTATGTATCATGAAAGGAAGGGTGAGATTTCAAAGAAGCTCCATAGTAGTAATTTCCATCAAATTATGTAAAGCTTGTAAAACAAGCCAAAGTGAAACATAACCTAGCAAGCTAATGTGGCGAAGAATTTATGCGCAATGACAAATAATTGGCAGATACTGCCCCATGTCTATCAACTACACGTGATCACAGCTAAATAATCTATACAAGGAATTTAGGATTACATGTTCTCGTGCTTTAAACAGCAATATGGCACAAACAGACATTCAGCAATCATACACAAGTTTAAGATAGGAAAGTACTACTACCTGAGACTCCTACTTCGAAATTAAACCTTACTTTCTTCCCTTCTTTTAGCTTCCTTAGTGGGTTTTCGTAGATATCAAAACCTGTTATGTTAGTAAGGGTAAGTTAATGCTTGATCCAATATAATTCATAAGTAAATAAATTTCTTAAATCCCATTTTTCTTTAATTTTCACCTTTACTTGATAATTAGTCACCCTGAATAATTTTTGTTATTCGAACTATTTTTTTTGGAAGGTTATCTCCCTTATTTTAACCTATATAGTTACTTTTCTTAGTAACAGGTCATTTTGGTCAAAAATATTATTTTTACATATTACATTAACTTGTAACTTATTTTAGTTTGGAAAAATGCTCATTCATATTTCATAACTACTTGATTATTATTAATCTCTTTAACTCCATACAGCCTTTCAATTAAATGTGGATTTAATTTTCCAGATTGAAGGATAACACTTAATAACTTTCTAATCCATTACCTAACTCTACGAGGAATTCTTAGGTACTCTCAGAGTACCACTTAACTCATGCTCTGACCAATATAATTGCGCCAATTATTCAAAATATAATCTGACGTGAAATCATTTTAATTAAAATATTATCATAAATGTTTTCTAAAAAAGCGGGCATCTTTAACAGCACATTCTTCTCTCTCTTCTATCATCGTTCAATCCTGTCTCCCTCTGCCTCACCATCGACACCGTCCCTCGATTCAAGTTACCTTTTTTTTTCTTCTTCTTCTTCTTACCCCATTTCGTCTTGCATCACTCCCATATCACTCCCTGCTCTCAAAAATCTGGATACTCATTCTCAAAACACTGGTAATAGCATTTCTCGTGATGGCCCATTCTCGTCAGCTTTGTCTAAATAAAAATGAGACAAAGTTCAGACCACGAATGACGGGATGCTAAAAACGATGGTGAGATCGACAAGTCAGGGGCTATTGCTATACCAGATCCATCACAAGGAATGCAAAAAGATGATGATGGCATCTTGGAACAAAATCAGAAATTAAAAAGTTTCTTGATTTTTATTTATTTCCGTTATAGTTTTTTTAGGTAATGTATGTCTTTTTCAGTTCTTGAAAATGGAGAAGGAAGGAGTGGAAGCGAAATTATTCAATTAAAATAGGGAGAGAGATGGGTGGGGCGGGTGAAAAAATCATATTAATGATTGGAGAGGGAGATGAGCAGATGGCTGGGGTGCGAATATGAAGAAGAAACTTTACACCAACGGGGAAGCAGGAGGGAGACGGGACTGAACAATGATGGAAGAGAGAGAAGGTTGCGCTAGTGAAAAACTGAAAATGCCCGCTTTTTCAGAAAACACTTATGACGATATTTTAATTAAAATGATTCCACGTCGGATTATATTTCGAACAATTGGCCCAATTATATTGGTCAGAATAGGTTTCAGATTTACTTCCATTAACACTCAACCTCCCAAATGCATGTATTCTCCCATAGCCTCATAATCCTCTTATACAGACTTTAATCTATGCCAGCATATCCTCTGTTCATTTAAAATTTCTATTCATCGGTTGGTAACCTCAAACAATCTCAACAATAAATTTTAAATCAATTCCTCTATCTTTCATAATCTGGAAATTATTCCTAACTTCAAGATATCACTTCAAGCCTATCCATTAAAACTTAGTGTAGTCGATCTTCAATCTAAAATCTTCAACTATAATTTATATTACCTCCGGTCTTAATTATAAGAGCCAGTTGACTAATTTGAGGAAATTAAGAAAAGAAATTAAGTTAGTTATTTGTAATAAATAGGTGTTGTTTTTTCTAAAATATTCTTACTAATCAAGTATGTTGGTTAAAACTATAATTATTAGAAGGACTATTTTGAAAAAAATTGAGTAAATATAAAAAACAAAATAGATTGGGGTCTTATATTTAAGACCAACATAACAGTCAAACGGGATCTTATATTAAGGATCGGAGGTAGTATAACAAAATCACTATTTATTCCATGTGCAGACCTCAAACAATAAAGCATTTATAGCTTCAGGATTAACATTCCAACAATCCAATCATCCACCATCATCACATGCGTAAAATCCACAGAGATGTATATTCCTTTTACAGAATTTTCTTTCAGATTTGGACAGCATAATGCCATTATTCAATAGCGTCAAATTTTATAACCTTACCATCAACAACTTTACCTACAATGATATCTAATTTACATTATCTATATGCTAATATGATTATTAATAATCAGCAACTTCTAGGGCTTAATCTTTAACAATTCAATCAGTTCTCTTTCTATTCACCTCGTCCAAACTTCAAGATTGAAGCAAACTCTTGCCTCATTTCTTAACATCAATCTTCATTAAATCTGCAAATTTTCCAGATTCCCTCTTAGCTTTCAAACCAGCTTTTATTATATTCAGACATGGCTAAGATAGTTGGGGAAATATTTGACATGGGTAAGTATTAAACAAGACAGTTGAATAGTCTTACAACCACTAAAATCTGAGTTCCTCACGTCACATTATCTCTCTCACACACACACACGTTTTTATCCACACTTGTTACTAAATTATTTTTAATGTTTAAGTTGTGTTTCACTATCTTTCACGAAACCTAACGCCATAACCCAATGAAACAGCAACCTTCAAGCTCCACAACTTCAGTTTAACCATCCTCTTCCAGTTCCTGAGTCATAAAATATTCATTTAACGTCCGGGTAAAACCCAACAAATTAATTACAATCAGTTTCTAATTCTAACTTCAATATTTTGTGTCACAATCAACTATCCATGTATTTGTGTGTGTTTCAATTTAATTCCCCATACCACACACACCCAAGCTTCGGTCATATACACACCCCCCCCCAATTTATGCTCTTCATTTTCTCATCAAACAACCCACATCATCTCTTTGAACCATTACCCCTGTTTCGGACACTAAGAACCAGAGAAGAAGAGCAACAAAATTATCTTCATAGATCAGTCACGAGTTACACAAAATTGAAGGAGAAAGTGACATGCAAACCCCTGTACGATCTATTTGGACTTCAATCTACCTCCTTCAATTCGGCAAACTTTACCCAGTTAAATTCCATAGAGTTAGGCGCCATAAAGCAGAACAGGGGCTGGAAGATTAAGTTTTCGAATCATCAAAAACATAACCCAACAGCACATGCAACACTACCATTCACTTGTTTGAGCTTCTAACTACATCCTCCCTCCAATATTTCATTCGATTCATAGCTTTCTTTGATAACCCAGATTTTTAATATGTCATCATTTCCTTCAAGGCACAGAAAACGAAAGAAATAAAGGTAGGAGTGTTAATCGGTCTTACCTCAGTCAGAAAACACTATCGCGTGTAAACTTCCCCCCTCCGATCACCACTTCGCCGGCGACGCGCTTCTCTCTTCCTCCTACGTCCTCTCTCGGTCTCTTTCTGATTTCCCCATTATTTACAGATGAAGAATGAGAAGGGAGAGGGCGTGTTATCAGATTATAAGGGTGGGGAAAATGAAAGGACCATTTTGCCCTTTAATCATTTCTCATTTCCAATTTCATCGTTTCACTAAATTTCTGAGATCATGGAATAAATCCAGAAACTTTTCCACAATGGTTTGTGTGAACTTTTTTTGCTTTCTCCATCAGTTTCTTTCACCCATAAAATAATTTCTCTAAAACTTGACATTAAAAGTTAACTCCTAACTTTTTTTTTGAATTTTTCAATAAAATAGCCCTTGATTCCAGAAATTAATCCTTAATTCATTTTAAAGATTTTATGCCTTAAGTAGCTTCTTTACTTTATAAAATAATTATCCTAAAATTTTCGGCTCAAATATAAACCTCTGACTATTTTGCCTTAAACAAAGTTAACTTTAAAATTATTTAAGTCATTTTTGGAGAAATAACTTATCCAAAATATGTCTAAACCATGAAAATAAATATTCCATAATTTTTTTCAATTTTATTTGACCATTAAGTAATTTTAATGAATTTTTTTCTTTTCTATTCATCCTGAATCAGAAAATTCAGGGTGTTACACCATCAACTTGTCAATTGAGGACAGAGACCATAACGTAATTTCTCCCATGGTATCTCTTATCTATTTTGAGATTTCCAAGGTTCTAAGATTAATAAATTGTGTTACTTAAAATCTGTGTAATTTTTTCACAAATTTTTTTGGCACCTTTACCTGACCTTGACTTTTTATATAATTCTGATTTGCGCATAATCGTGCTTAAGAACTATGAGAAATTCACTTTATACACCTACCACACCAAGCTCTATTAATTTTCTGACTCTCCTTGTTTCGTATTTGAATTGTAGGACGTTGCTAGGCGCATTTTCTGCAGTAGTAACGTCACTGCATTTTGGCTGCAAAGTGCTCATGTGTGGACTGTTATGTTTTATGAAAAGAAGTTACAAAGGAATATATAGTACAGATTCTATATTTTATGAAAAGATTCTTCCTTTGTACGGTATTTGACAATTATATGCGACACCGGTTAATGTATGATCATTTGTACAAGGCAATACAAGTTTGTATATTAGTCCTTCCTTAAGGGAATATATAGTTACAGGAAATGGTTGATTTGCCACATAATCGTCCATCCTTCGCAGATATCAGTTTCTTGTGGCATCACAACAGAGGCATGGAAACTGACTTTTGAGGATTAAAAAGCTGCTTCAGAGAATCTTCATTTATGTTTTTAGGGTTAATACAAATTTTAGTCCCTGAAATTTAAGCTTATTTTGATATTGGCTCCTGAAATTTTGAACTTATGATTTTGATTTTTAAAATTTTGTTCGTTTCAAACCGGTAATCCTTGGTAACTTCATGCTGTTAATTTTGTCTGAGATGGCACTAACACCGTGGACTTGATGATGTGGAAAGACAAGCTGGCACATATATGGCATGATGATGTGGACATATTGTTAAAGAAAGGGACAAAAAAAAAAGGCAATAAGTCAAATAAAACACGCGCAAACAATAAAAGAAAAGAGACGAAGAAAAATAGAAATTGACGATTGAAGAACGAATAGGGAAAGGGGAAAGGGTTAGATCAAAAGGACTGACATTACCAGCAAAGAGTGACGTGGTCGTCACCGGAGCAGTGGGTTTACCGGTGGTTGTCACGCGAAGAACCTTTGCCTAGCAATTTCATCAACTTCTCAGTTCTGTGATTATTTTGCTTTGACAGATTATTTTACCTCTGGTTGCCCGGTTCTGAGTTTAAATATTTTGCTTTGGCAGGTTATGTATTCCGGACTGTTTTGAAATCCAGGTCATGCACACTGCTTTTGGTACATCAAATCATCATCGTCATCATCGATATTAATTAGCAGAAATCCTCAAGGAGATCTATTTAATACTGAGATATTTCCAAAATGTTGCAGAGGAGCATCTATCTTTTGATGAATTTTATGGGCATAGGTTTCTGATATAAGTCATGGGGTATTAACAGCAATCCAAGAATTGAAAGGAGTTGTGAGAAGAAGAGTAAGTGGGGATTCAAAGCAGCATGTTGCTTGGTAATGCTATAGATAATCCGGTCAATTTGTTTTTGAATGTTGACCAAAACATGCAAGAGCAAGGGAGGTCGGAACTTGCAATTGATAGGCCACAAATGATTTTAAACGGCTTTGCATTCAACCGGTCCTCTTCTTGCCTTCATCGGCCCTGCTCCCCCACTGAACCTTCGACCGTGTTCCTTCTTTTATGCCTTAATAAAAATCCAGATTATTTGGTGCGTGCGACTTATATGCGTTTTACCTCAGCTCGCCTTTGTTTATTTTTTTCCTCTGGTTATCCAGGTCAGCGTTCCCTGACTCATGCCACATGATCAGCTCACTCTTCTATGTTAGGCACTTAGGCGTCATATCATCATGTTAACAGAATTAGTGCCATGTCAAAATAGGCCCAAATTTAAGAGACTAAAATTTATACTATACCATATTTTTAATATAATGCTTTGAACAACTTCTGCGTCTCAACCTACTTTAGAAGTGAAGTAAACTTAAGGGCTTATTTGACATCACTGTGGAGCGATTCAAGAGGTGTTTGGATTCGCTAAAAACATTTTTTTTATTAAAAAAAAAAGTGATTTCATGTAAGTTGAGACAAAGTTTTTCTCATATACTTATCTCAAACTCCGTAAAATCACTTCTAAGAAGCAATTAGAGTGTGTTTGGATTAGCGATGAGAACAGTGGCTTTTATTTCCTCTAACTTTTACAAACGTAAGTTAGGATAAAACCCAGTTAGTATGATATGATTTATGTTTAAATTGATTTTTATAAAAAAAATCAGTTTGACAAATTAAAACTTGTTTGGATGAGTTAAAAAAATAAGAAGAAGCAAGTTTAGATGTAAAATAACTAAAAAAAAACACAAACTTTATTATATATATAAATAGTGTATATAATTTGATAGATTTAACAGAAATATTAAAATCAAAAGTATAAAAATAAAAAGAGTTAATGTATTATAAGAAAAAAAATATAAATACTAGAAAAACACTTAATTGGATATATTTAATGTAACTTAAAGTATTTAGTAGTACATCTAGTATCCTAAAATATTTTTTTAGGTACATCTAGCATATTAAGTTATATTTAAGTCAATCCAACATCCTAAATTATTTTTTGCCGCATCCAATACTTTAAATTGCTAAAAGTAAAATTACACTAAAAATATTTAGGGTCCTAGATACACCACTAAATACTTTAAGGTGCTAAATATACTTAAAAAAATATTTCACAGTATTGGATATATTTTAACCCTTTAAATAAATATGCAAAGTATATCCTACTTTATCTTTTTATCATTGCTTGTTTTTCTCTCACCATGTTATGTTAGGGTGAGAATAGTACTTTTATTTCATCTAACTTTTACAAGTGTATGTTAGAATAAAAGTCAGTTAGTATGATGTGGTTTATGTTTGGATTAACTTTTACGAAAAGATCAGTTTGACAAGTTAAAACTTATTTGGATAAATAAAGAAAAAGTAAATTTAGATGTAAAATGACTAAAAAGGATGCAAACTTTATTATACATATAGATAATGTATGTAATTTGATAGATTTAACAAAAATATTAAAATCAAAAGTATAAAAATAAAAAGAGTTAATGTGTTATAAAGAAAAAAAATTATAAATGCTAGAAAAACACTTAATTAGGTATATTTAATGTAACTTAAAATATTTAGTAGTACATCTAACATCTTAAAATATTGTTTTAAGTACATCCAGCATCCTAACTTTTATTTAAGTGCATCCAACATTCTAAAATATTTTTTTTAGGTGCATTCAACATCCTAAATTATTTTTTAGTTCATCCAATACCTTAAATTGCTAAAAGTAAAATTACACTAAAAATGTCTAGGGTCCTAGATACACTACTAAACACATTAAGGTGTCAAATATCACACCCTGTTAATTTTAACTCTGAAAATAAGAAATATAAAATAGATCATAGGGCAAGCAGGGTAGCCAACAGATAGTCGGTACAGCTTTTGAATTGAAATCAGACCGGAGATAGAACTGTCATTTTCAAAATGTCCGGTTAATACTGAACAGAGTGGGAATGTGTACCCGAAATTCTAGAAATTTTTCAAAAATCATGAAAAATAGAATAAACATTATAGAAGAGTATTTGAGGCTTGAAAGATAAAACTAAGGTAAAAATAATTTATTTTATATTTTTTTGTATTTTTTGGAATTTTAGATAATTAAGGAAAAATTGATCAAATCGAATTATTTAAAATATATAGGGGCCTCAATCATTCATGAAAAAACTAAAAAAATTATTTGAGAGGTTATTATAAATTTTAAAATTATTCCCAACCTCTAAAGGTGCATAAGTTAGCTTTAACTTATTTAAAGTTTGAATTATACTGGTAGATGGCCTATTTTGGTGGGAAAAGTTTAATTGAAGGAGTTACAGGGTAAAATAAAATCTGAAAAAATTAGAAAATCCTCTTCTCATCAAAAGAAAGTTATTGGCGCAAGAAAATGAATTTTTGGAGATAGTGAATTTAACAGGATCCGAGAAAAATTTAACTGATACTGTAAAATTATACAGTGCAATAGCTATAAGCTTGGTGGGGCCAAATTTTCCCTTATTCCTCTAACCTATGTGATGCCATTTGAGGAGGGTGAGGACCTAGATGAAATAATACAATTTGTTAAATGATAGAATTGAAAAATTAGAATTATAAATAAATTATATAGATTTTAGCACATGGGAGGTTATGCGTCCCATGAGGTGGCACCTTCATTCAATTTGAAGGACACCTAAAGGGCATGTGGTGTGCCTGAAGAGGAAGAAGAGAAGAGATGGAGCCAAGTGTCCTATGAGTTACCGCATAAAAAAGACTTAAGGTAGTTTTATAAATATCATCTCCTCTCCTCATAAGCCACTCT